ACATCATACATACCAAGTGCCAAATTACCAAGGACTAGTCTCACTTTTTGAGCCCATGAGTGACTAGACTGCTCAAGGTTGCTGTCTTGAATGCTTCAGTGCAGCAGTGACTGCCACTTAGAGGTCATAGGCTCCAAGTTACTTTGGATAGGCCTAAGCGGATTCTGAAAATTAGCCATTTAACTTGCTTTTAGACAAAAGAGTTTGATTTAATATATAAACACTTTTAAAGTTTTCTCAGAACATACTGCTCATTTCTCAGTCCTTATATGGAAATAGTAGTTTTATAATAATAATAGTTTTGAATGCACATTTTTATGATGTCACAAAACCAAGGCATTTATATATATTCAGCCTTGCAGCAGTTCACTTACAAGGAGTTTTTTCAGCCTTGACTGCTTTTTGAATGAGCCATGATACAGGGCGGCCAGTCAGAACAGATATCATATACATATTTGTGATAACAATACAGCACGTTTAATTCAAAAGGACAAAAAAAGGTTGGAGGTTGTTTAAAAATGAATGATGAATGTTTTTGTACATAAAACCACAAAAATGCCACGTGTTGGAGAGGGGACAGCATACAGGAAAAATATCAGGACATGGGCCCTTTAAATGGCAAGGGCCTGTATGTGGGTCCCCAAATGGGTTCTCAAAATTAACATAATTTCATAGTAGCTGCTGAAGAATTTATCGCAGTTACTGAATAACACTTCTTAAAATGAATAAGTAAATAATTAGTCTGTAGCCTAAATGTTTTATAACCTTGACTGTTCTTTCCAGCTGGACAGACACAGCTAAAAGAAGGCCTAACATGCTGCTGTCACCAATGACTGAACGAATTAGCCACTTAGCAGTGAGAGACAGCAGCCTGTATATTCACACAGCCCTTTATTCGAGCCTTAATAAGGCAAACAGAGATGAGTAAGATTCCCAGTTCAACCGAAACAGCGTGACCTTTCACACTCGTACGGCCTGCTTCAGTCATTACAAGAATATGACACGGCAGCATATGACTCAGCAAACACGAAATTAGAGACAACGGACTGTTTATTTCAGCTTTAGTGCAGTGAGAGTTAACAAGTCGTGCCTACGACTGGCTTCACAGTAGAAAGTAATTTCCCACCGCATTTTCGAATTTCATTCAGTTGGAGTAAAGAAGGAGTTGGAGAGAGTTTTAGCTCAGCCTATCGGTTTCCCCTCGCCAGTGTGATGTTTGGTCGGTTTATTTAGCAGGCTAAAACTATCTCCTTCAATAACAAACGAAAATTTGATATATAATGCGATTTGAATCTAGAGTCAGAGCGGAATCCAGCCTGGGACGATTAAAGGGCTGCGCACCAGCAGCGGTTATGACGTAACAACATAGAAATAGTTAATAATGAAACACTCAACATTTAGAATCATTCAGTTTTTTCACTTTGATATAGTTTATAGTCTATATTAGCGAATCTGCTTCACTTTAAAACAGATGTGTTAAAAAAAAACAACACATTCTGTCTCTAACCAGACAGATCAGTGCGTTCAGTTGGAAACAACACATTTTGTGTTACTTTTGACACAAAAATGCGTTGAAATATTTGACTGATAACACATTTTGTGTTATTTTTAACACAGAATGTGTTAAATCAGAAAAGACTGTGACAAAAAACTGTTACAGGTAACTCAAGTAAGCGTGTTGTTATTTAACACATTACTTTTTAGAGTGTTTCTAGATTTAAATGTACAGCGCCAAAAAAGCAAACAAACAAATACACTTATAAATTATGTTTTCTTAAAAAGAGCATTGTACTGCCAAAGAGTGCTTGGCTGTTTGGGGGTTTTCTGAGTCATCAGTCATTATGGGACACTTTAAGAAACGTGTTTATTTCAGGTTAATCTGACGCTCGCTGTTTTTTTTTAATCTACAAAAGAAAATGGACAATAGAAAAAATACAAAACTATTTCTTAATGAGGAATTGAATAAAGGAAAGGTGTCTTTCATTCAGGGCTGGTGTCTGCTAATGCCACTTAACTCACTGTCCCAGATCAGCTCATGGCGCCTAAGACCTGAATTCACCCTATCTGGTGCTACTGTTATTTAGCCTATGCTTTTTTAAACGAACGACACTGTTTTCTACTCATTTGGTGGAATAAAGAGATCTTAAGCGGTGTGAATATTTAAGCCGAGTCGAGATATATTGATTTTTTTATTAATAGCATGATTAGCCCCCACTTTCACTGAGGCGTTAACTCCAAAACAATCGCTCATTTTACACGAAAACTGTCTGCAGTTTGGAGCTCTAATGGGGTTTTGGATGCTGAGAATCAGGTACATGTTTTTATCAGGCTGTATCGAGTGTGTTTTGGTGTCCAGACTCTGACTTTTCCCCCTCTAAAGGCAGCGCTGTAGCGGGTCTCTGTCATTCTCTCAGTTGTTTTAGTCACACCTGGCTAACAGAGGCTTTTCTCGAGCTGGGCGTTTATCAGCAGTGGTTTAGTTTTTGAAGGAAATGGAATTAAACGGCTCGGTTTCGCAAGTGTTTTTGGTGTTTTTTAGCGGCTTTAGCGAGCCAACTTTAGAAATGCCTCCGTTTCCGCTGACAAAACTGTTTATGTCTCTAATTAAGAGACAAAATGTGTTGTTTTCCAAGCGCGGCGCGTTTCGCCGTAACGAAATTTTGTACAAATGGTTAAATTCGACTCCTATATGGAGAAAAACACTGGACATTTCATCGCCTGCCTCGGTAAAAAGCAGCGTGTCCTCCTTCCTCACAGACCTCGCTGGGTTCGTTACAGAAACAGCTGGTTTTGAGGAAAAACAGCCGTGAACTTGAAGGACAAATATTCACTGACCAGACGCCCTGCAAAGCCTTTTATCAGACTGCTGCTCTGAAACGGGCGCTCTGTTATATTATTAGCGCTGAAATCGCAGAACAAATCCACTCTAATCCGCCACTTTTCGTTGCAAAATACCAAAAAAACAATCGATTGCTGGCAGTAACATATAAAATCAACCCTGCTGAGTCCGTGTGAAAAGCTTTGCATTGGATTAATGAACTTAACATCACGTTTCATTCACTCAGCCTTAAAATCTGAAGCGGGTCCCGAATTGGGGGCGCGTACTTAATCGCAGTGTTTTCGGTAGGGCGAGTCATTTTTACGTTTTATATGTTTTATATTAACGTTTTATAGCGTAGAAGATTAAAAAGAACCTCTGTGAAATGTTATACACACATGAAGGTAAAGTTAAATCACTCTAAGCCCAAACTTTTAGTGTCGGCTTATTAAAGTGTAAATATTAGCCTGTGTGCTGGACCTCCCCATGCCACATTTCTGCATTTCTTTGGCCAAACTGATTAATTTTGGTATACTAATAACCATACAAATGCACATAGGAAGGTAAAATATTTCGAGTCTCTAGTCTATTTCAATGACTAGTTTCTGTTTGCTTAATATTACACGTCTGCTGGAGACTTGCATTTAAGGAGCTTGTCCGGAAAGAGATACAGAGACATCCACATCAGACACAAAACAAAAAATAGTGCCTAAAGAGATGGCTTGGGTAGGTTAGTATGGTCCACTGCACCAGAGACCCCCCACAAACACTTGCCTACTCATACACACGTCCCACAGCCTATACTGAGGTACTCTGGGCCAGCAAGTAATATGAGACATTTGAAGAAGGTTTTGTTTATTCTAATTTTAGCTGGTGTTTACTAGGGAAATACTTTAAGGCACCTGAAATTACAGCGGCCTTTGATGGGAAATTGCATAAAAGAATGGCATTATTATTAATCACGGCCTGCAATTTACGTGTGACGTATTACCATAATAACTCAGATGACCCAATAGACCATAACACCAAAGCCACACATTTCAGTGTGGAAGCTGTGTAGGCTGATGTGCTGATTTTGATATCATTTCTCATGCTTTGCGTGTCAGTTCCACCTCATGAAGTGTATTAACTGCTAAAAGCATCCTGAGTGTATCCTCTGATTCTGTGCCGGATCATCACAAAGTTAGCCTACTCACACTCTTCATGTGTACAGCGTTAAATAGCTTCTAAAATTCACCTTATTTTCTCGTCTTAGTTGCTTTTGTGTAGTCGTAAGGAGCACAGATTAGACTCTAACGGCCTCAGGCTTTTTATTCCAGTGTCTAGTTCTGTGCGATGTCCACCATCTGCAGGCAAATGAGGGCTGCAGTACGTTGATAATGACAGTACATTAAAGCGAAAGGCCAACAGCTACCAAACGGACCCGCGCTCTGTGGAGTCTGGCGGTGAGTGAGGACGGTTACCTGAGGGGCGCCGTCGTTTATTGGTGGAAAAAAATGACTGACAGCAAAGCGATGAGGCAAAAAGTTCGTGATGCAACTCGGCTGTAATGGGGGGAGGGGGGTAAGGTGAGGGGGGGCAAAAGCAAAAGAGTGAATAAAACGCATCGTTTACCTCAGCTACTATAACTAGGCTACATGATTGAAAAGCTTACGCACGTGCTCGCGCTTTCCTTCTCTCCCTCTCTGGCTCTCTCGCATTTAACCGTTTATAGAGAAAGTAGGCTATTCCTCCTCTTCCTGAGCCGTTGTTACTGTCCTCCTCCTCGCTCTCTTTCCGCCGGCTCAACGCACTGATCTGATGAAAGGACTCGTCTCGCCTCTCGACTTTTCACAGCCCTACTACCCTCCCTCCGAGTCCACATACCCCCGTATTATACCCCCCCCCTCAACACACACACACACTTCACCCTCCACCCCCCACCCCCCCTCCACTCCCCAACTACCACCACCGACCTGCCCCGTCCAAGTTAGCCATGGTGAAGCTTTGCAGCAACGAGAGCTGTTCAGATCCCTTTGGCCGTTTGCTTTGGTGTCAGGGTGGAGAGAGGACTGGGCTTTCTGGACATGAGGTCGTGTGCTCACCGTTCCCTCTCTCTCCCTCTCTCTCTCCCTCCCTCTCTCTCTCTCTCTCTGTCTCTCTCTCTCTTACTCCAAGTGCCACCGCTCCGCCTCCTCTTTTCGCAACATTGACGCAACGTATAAATGCTGGAACAAAAGGACAACTTCCTTGAAGCTTGGCGTAATTGCAACAACAACAACAAAAAAAGCGAGAGAGAAAGAGAGAGAGAGAGAACGAGAGAGATACGGGTGCCTTGGCTGGCAGCGCTAACGGAAAGCCCGGCAGTCTAGTGGAATATTACGGCATTGTTATTATTTGCTGTTATTATTTATTTTCCCGCGCGGCTCCACGGTTCGACGTGCACGTCACAATGGGCTTCGCGGTGCGTTCCAGCTCCGCCAGCGCTCCAAGTAAGTCTCATTTATGCACTCGTCTACCCATTCTCTCCTCCTTCTCTCCCTCCGTCCACTCTGACAGGACCGGGCTTCTTTCGCTGGGTTTCCCCAGCGCCGAGCGCGTTTGAACGGGCTGTGTGTGGAGAGATGGAGAGGCTTTCCAGCACCGGAGGGTGAAAGTTGCAGTGGTTTGTTTTCACCCGGGCAAATCCAACGGCTCGTTATCGAGCTTATCAAAATTCCTCCAGGACCTGGAGGGGAGGTAAACAAGCTAGAGCACAAACACAGTTGTTGGGCGTAAAGAGTGAGAGAGATAGAGAGAGAGAGCGCGCGAGAGAGAGAGGGGAGGAAAAAAAACACAAGAAACAAGAAAGGACTGCTCGGTTTTGAATGAACACTACGGGCTGTCGGTTGACAGCATTGTTGGCAGGAAAAATGGAGCAAAGCTGCTTCTCGTGTCGATGACATTTTACATCGCGGCTGTGGATTTGCTAGGTTTTTGGTCAGTGCCAACGCTGAAGTGCATCTGAAGGCAGCGGCGCCGTTCGCCTTTTCAATTCACCGTCAGGGTTTTTTTTTTTCTCCGCGAGCGAAGTGCCAGCCGGTTCCCCTTTTTCACTCCAGCCTGAAACACTCCGACTGAGCACGAGAGATGTAGGTTAGTCTGCTCTTCATCGACAGGCTACACATTTTCTCCAATCTACCCCGACGTCGTATCTCAAAAACGATTATAAACCACACGTGTTGCTCGTTGTGTTGTATTTTCGACTGTCTTTCACTGGCTCTCTTTTAGCACGCTCGCTCTAATTCAACGGCGAGATGTCGCTCGCGCCTTTTGCTTATTTTATTATTTTGTGAAATCCTGAATCGTTTTACTTTACGAACAAAGAACCCGGGAGGAGGAGAGGAGGTGGTGGTGGTGGTGGTGGAGGGAGGGGGTTAGCTGGATTTTGGTTTGGTGGAGGGCTACAGTAAGAGAGAGAAACGGGGTGGACTGTTTACAATAATAACAGGATAGTCGTGACGTCGAGTGACGGACAGCGTCCTCATCCAGAGGAAAGAGCGGAGAGGCATCAACACCGTGCTAAATTTGGACAGGAGGGAGGGAGGGGGGGTTACATCATCGCAGAGCGGCGCCGAAGGGGCGGGACTTCCGCTCGGGTTTGAGTTCGTACCGCTGAAGCTCAGAGTGGCCTCGTTGTTTCCCCTCACAGTGCACGAGCCGAGCTTAAACGAACCCAGAACCGAGATAAATCGGCTGAATGTGCCTCAGAATGTTCTTCCAGTGCATTTGGTCCATCGTCAGGGTAGTCGCAGCCCGCCTGATCCAAGACAAACTTGTCTTGGAGTCGACTGAAACACAGCCTGAGAGATTTTCAACACAGACATGTCCAGAGAATTAACCTAAAATATCAGAATCGGCTCAGTGGGAGCTTCTGTCTTTGTTTTCTCTGTTTTTGTTTTCGTTTTTTTTTGCTCCATGTAGGCCCATAGAATGAGAATCAGAATTAAATTTATTCACCAAATGCATTAGCATGTGTTTGGAATTTGTCTTAGTGTTTAACTTTGACACAATTTACATGTGAATATTAGAGATGGGACAATTTTTCTGATATTAATACTGATATTGAAACTTACTGACCCAATATTTTTCTTTAACAACTGCTAAGCTTTAAAATGAGCTATTTTTAATTGAAATACTAAGCTTAAGATGAACATCTAAACATAGGATATCACGATTAAACCTCTCAAACTCCCTATTACCCCACAAGAAGAAATAAACATCTAACAAAATATCACACAATGTCAGTGTTCGTATTTCAGGCTAGATTTGTTACAGGATTGGATCAGATTTATTCATTTTTTCCCTCTAATATCCGATACAGCATTTCCTGCTGATATAGGCCAAATACCAGTACCTATCAAGACCATTATGCCATCTCTAGTATATTTACACATTACACATTCAATAAACATAGGAATAGAAATATACACAACTTAGTTTTATAGATACATGTGCATTTATGCCGATAAGGGATAAAGAAGCTGTATGGCAGGCAGATTATGTAGTTATTGTGCAACTCCAATGTAAATATAATATGCAGGAAAAAGTGGCTAGTGCAGGAATCAGAAATGACAGTGATAATAGCATTACAGTGCAGGAGATGCCAGTTTACAAGTCAACTTAGACTACTTACACTAAATATTATGGCAAAGTGTTGTTTACTAGTTGTCATCTCATGTGACATTCAATAATTCATAAAACTTTAGCTGTGGGTGTCAAACTAAAATATGATTTAGTGTGGTTAATATGTGTGGTTATGACAGTGCCTCAGCTGTATGCTTAAATTACTTAAGATCATTTATTAAAAAAACATCACGCAACAATACAAGCGAAAAGCGATGATGAGATGTTATCTAGAATTTATTTAATTAAGCAGCAGATATTTCAGTACACTACAGAAGACTTCATACATAATGATCAATCAGACTTTAATTTGTTTGTTAAAATATGTGCGTAATTTAAGGAATTATGTAGTGTTGTGGAGTCTAACTAAAGGCCAGAACATATCTTAGAGCTGTCAGTTACTTTTTTTTTCAGTTGGGGCCATGTAATCAGAAGGTTGTCACATTTGTAATCTCTCCCCCCTGCAGGACTCTAATTGGTGAAATAAACCAAATAAACCAGCGTGAGTCAGCGGTCATGTCTTGTTAGGCCAGCTCACTTAACAGGGGTCAAAGGTCGCTGTTGTGTTCTCAGGCTTGACCTGCAGGCGTCTATTGGCTTTTGATGGATGTTGTCGCTTAAGTGTGCAGCTTTGGCCTCTATAAAAGAGGAGGGGGCGATGTCGCCCCACTGTTGCCCCCTCCCACACTGTTTAGGGGAGATCACAGGGGTGCAGCTGCTACAGACAACTTTAGCTGGGGGAGGGGCGCCTGAGACCCCTCAATGAGAACAAAACCTTTTCTCTTGCTCTCCCTCTCTCTCTCTCTCTCCCTCTCTCTCTCTCTCACACACACACACACACACTTGCTTGCCCCTTACAACTACTACCCTATTCTCACACAACAAAACAGTGTCTGACAAGTGACGGGGTGCAAGAAAGTTCACTTGACATGTAGCAGACTTGGCTGCCTTTTTTCTGGGGTTGTGCAGGTTAGGTACGGCAAATACTGTAAAAAGGTTGACTGCATCTGTCATACAAATGCAATTTAAGCTTCCCTAGAAGTGAATATGGCTTTACCTCTCTTGCAACATCAGACCATGAAAAGTTCTCAGTATGAAAATAAGCTTGCGAAGAACAATAATAGAGATAGCTAGAGGGGTCGTTTGGAATAGGTCACAGGACGCTGCTTTATAGTGGGATTCAATTTAATAGAGTTAGATTGTTACTAACTTTGCAAACATGTATAGTTCACCACATTTGTTGTAGCAACATGATCCCATGTGAATTAAAATGCCTCTGAACTCCTGACAGCGTTAGAAATATAGACACAGACGATTCTTGTAGATATAAAGGCCCTGGTGGCTATAGAGCAGTGCACCGAGAGATGCTCACCTTTACAGGCCATGATGTAGATTACTGTCTGAGCATTTATGTCCTGCTTCAGATAGGCTATAGCTAACCCATATCATAGGTTGCCCTTTGCCCTGATGTTCACAGCATTATCACATGCGGCTACTGCACCACTAATATGGAACCAACCTTTTCCTTTGTAGAAGAAAGGCTTTCAAATGCATGTAATCGCTTTCCCTGAGTTGACTGAATGCAAATGGTATATCTCTGAGCCTCACACACATATCCAATATCCATTTGGTTAGAGGGAAGTATTTGAGAAATTAACGTGACTGAGCAATACTAAAATTATGTGGATCTTTGGAGATATATATATGCTTGATGCTGATGGCCAGGATCGATCAGTTTCTTCTCTGCACAATTCTACAAAAAAATGGTATCAGATTAAGATAAAATTTTCTAATTTGCACCAAACTATTAACAGTGAAAAAGAATTCTCAGATTCTGTGGGACAAGGCTGATTCCTTGCTGACCTTGATGGGACATGCAGGTACATAGCCTATTCACAGATAAAAGCTAGAGGAGTTTAAAATGCCTCCCTGATTTTGTGAGAGAACTTAGCTACATGTAAATTATGGCATTGTAAACATGTATTTAAAGTCACATTTATTGCAGAGAGTTAGCAGGCCTGCGTGTGAGGGCAATTAGATTGAGGTTGTCGTTGTCTCAGTTATGGCTTGAATGTGTGAATCATAGACTATGGTGTGGCACTTACTCTGTCCTTTAAACTCCTTAAACTAAAAGATTATTATTCAGATGTTAATCCTAAAATGTACTATTCAGTAACTACTGTGAAACTAATATGTAAAGTATGTAGTTATGAGAGGGAGGAACTGAAGTGTGGGCCTATATATGAGGCCTAAGTGTTTAGGGGTTAAAGCTAGGCCCAAAAGCATCGTAGTTCCAACATCATTTAATGGTACCAGCAGCTATAAACATGACATTCATTTTTCTGATAGCAACTGTCACAAATATGCAATAGTGCTTAAATAATGCTGTCATAAATATGAACTAGTGCTGGTATGAACCTAGCTTTAGGTCTCTTGTTGTCAAGCCTTAATTCCCACTATGAAAATAAGCTCAGTGCAGAAATTCAGAAGACAGAAATGGAGATTACTAGATGGCCATTTGGAATACATCACAGGACACTGCTTTGTACTGTGATTTAATTTAATGGACTTGGATTGTTACTAACTTTGTGTGAACCTGATACAAGCACTGCTTAGTGTTGCAGAGGTAAGTCCTTTTGTTGCTCAGATCCCAGCTATGTAATGCACTGTACGTGGCTGGTTATCACATCAAGAGCATCATTTTTGTAATCGACATTACCTATGAAAGGCTCTCCCTCATCACTACGTCATGCACCAGAAACACAGACACATCTCAGAGTCACCTCGTTTCCATGACTTTACTAAGACAGTAAATATTACATGGTGC